CCCTAGATTATAGGATAATTAATAAACTTTATATTATATATAAGAAACTAGATTAGAGGACACGTGCAAAAAATGGTTCTTCAGAAATCTGGTATAAGATGAGATAAGATTTATACAAGAAACGAAATATTCATAAAGTAACAAACAATTTTGAATTCTAACATAAAATTTCCCTTATAAATAGAACAACAAAAATGTTAATGGCTAAATTTCATGATAATGTCATTTTGACAGATCGAAATGGCCCTACCTTGTAGCCCTTTGCCCTCCCTATTAGATATTTTTTTTTGAGTAATGCTAGAGAGACTAAATATGTAGACTAAATTTTGAAAACTAAATGATATAAAAGTTAATAAATAGATTATTGCTTAAGTATTGATTAACATACTTATTTCTCATTAATAACATATCATTTAATTTGGAAATTTAGTCCATAATAATCTACTAGCATTACTCCCCTACGTAATAGAAAAAAAAAGTAACTCCTCATCGTGGGTTTAAGTTTAGAGTACTCTCAGGGCAGAGACACTCTAAGGCCACCATAGGCCTAGGCCAGTACAAGGATGCAACTGGCAGGCAAGGACCCATGGCGTTAAGCTTCCCAATCCCACAGCATGCTGCTTTTACCTCTGTAAATCCTGAAATCGAATGCGAAATTTTTGGTTTGTCAGTCGAGTTAACTTAAAATTCTTCCTCTAGTTTCTTACAAGGGCGGCAAAATATCTTATCATGATCGATATGTATTAAAATTGATGGTTTAACTACACAACATGCTTGACGGAATTGTACGTAAATTATTTCTGCTTATGAAGAAGGAAAAGAACATATGAGTACCGTAAGAAGCTGCGTTTTGCACGATGTTAGTCAAGACAGTGTAAGTGTCGAAGAGGGTGTAGTTTATGCCCAACGCGAGTTTCAATTGCTGCACCATGGACTAAAGGGCTTCATTGTACATGACAGACAATGAGTTTGCGCCATCACTGCACTCTTCTGTATTTGAATCCCTTTGCGCTGGACAGCATCCAACCAGCCCAGTCCTGACAACTACAAATTTTTGGGCGCCGAGGGCATGCATTCTCTGCCGAACAACGAGGAAAGAAACACATTAAGTATTGAAGTGCAACTGAAGTTCCACTCTGCAAACATGGAGCTAAGCCAATGTTTTCTTGTTACCTGTAATTGTTCCTTAAGATTCGTCGCCATCAAATCCGCGTACTGCTGCCGCGTGTATTCATTTTGAAGCTTGGATTTTTTCATATAGTCTACTAGCATTACTCCCCTACGTAACAGAAAAAAAAGTAACTCCTCATGTTGGGTTTAAGTTTAGAGTACTCTGTACTCTTCGAGATGTCTCTTTTTCAAACTTAATTTGTTTGGCTTTGAGCCCCAGTATTTCCCCCTACCCACCCACACCCAACCAAAAGAGGGGCTGATATTCGATGAAAATAAATGAGCAGGATTATCTTCCCTTCAAATTCTCTCATCTCCCATCCCCTCTCTCTTTTCTCTTTTTCTTTCTATAAAGAAGTTAACACAAGATGTTGACGTGGTTTTAGTGTGACCTTTAAATATGAGAGGACTGGAGGGAAGAGAATTTAGAGATAAGAGAATCCTACTAAACAAAGCTATGCTAGTTCAATGCATGCGTTAAATGGTATTCAAAGAAAAAAAAAATGGGTTTAGGTTTGTGAATTTAACCTAATAAAGCGAGGAAATAGCCCTCTTTAAAAAGTCAACAACTAAAAAGGTTTTTACTTTACTATTTTAGAGAAGATTACGTAGCCAACACTTGAGGGACATCACTAAACATATTGATCACATATTTCTGGATAGTTTTCCGTTTGGTACTTCTAAAAATGGATAAACAGGGACTATTTTTAGAAAGAGAGAAACAAGATAAACAACATGGAAATGGTTCTACGCATGCCCATAGTTGAAAAGGATTTTAGAAATAAAATCCCTACATAGAAGGACTTGGGAGTTCTTCCTGGAGGTCCTTCTATGCGACTCTAAGAGAGGCTTCCCCAAATATGGCCATTGCAGGAACAAGATCATCTGATACGATGGGCCTGAAGGGTGGTGTTATTCTTCTCGGCTTTGTTGCCTTTGCTTTGTTTTCTTGTGTGGCCGATGGTTTATCCGGTGCCGACCGTCTTTTTGGGGAGGGGGAGGGTGTCCGTCGTAGCCTGGCCGAGAACGACACTGCCTGGGTGAGCAGTAGGGATGCTACATGTTTCAAAACAAGTATTTAATTTTTTGGATTCCATTACCATGATGATTTTATACACACACACACATATATATATGTACATATATATATATATATGTACATATATATATATATATATATATATATATATATATATTATACTAGAATGGCATTTACCATATGATTAATTTGATGACTGAAATTTAAAAAATATCAGGGTGAAAATGTCATAAGTTGCATTCTTTATTCCTTGCACATTTCGAGAGTGTATATGATCTTAGCATCTTGTTGGCCGCAAACTCAACAAAAATGAAAGAAAATTTAGATCAAACATGTTATTCTTATCGTCTATTTATACCATTTCTTTAATAGTGATAAGACTTACATATGATGGTGAGCTCTACCTCTATTAGAGATGATACAAATGAAGGTACGAATAGATTGTAAGTGTAGCACTACTTAATTTAAATCAAAATTCAATCGACTCATTATTATATATGATGCCAAAGTTACAAAACCAAAATATAATAAACCAAAAAAATATATATTTCATAATTCATAGTTCCCTTCTTAAAACAAGCATATTATAGTAAAAAATTATGGAATAGTATTTGAACATATTGATTCCTCAAAACTTCATTTTACATTATCGACAAAAATTATAAAACAAGGTTTTAAATTTGTAGTTTATTGTTAGTGGTGGATTGTCCTATTGATTAGGGTCTTTTTCTTTTAACTCACTTAACCATCGTGCTGTGGGACATTTATTTTTAAATCTACAATCCAAGTTCCAACAAAGAAAAAAAAATTGAAAATGGAATATGAACAACAAGGAGAATGGAAAGAAATTCTACAACTTGGCATAAACCCCAAAGTGCAGAAAATAGTAAGCATAGAAGCAAGCATATCCAACAAAATCCACAAAACTAAATTTGAAGTACCATGTAAGACTTTTGTGCTCAAACAAAATTTTTAAATGATTTTTCAAATTTTAAAAAAATGTCATATTCTCTCAAGATTTAGGGGGCTGTATTCAATTGGGATTTTGAGGGATTTTAATTCTTTTAATGAATCTAGGGGTATTCAATCAAATTTTAAGTGATTCTTTGAAATTCTGTATTCAATTAGAATTTTAAGATAGTTTATTAAAATCCTTAGAAATCCGAATGTATTCAATTAGGATTTTAAAGAAGTTTATAACATTCCAGGTATATTCAATTAGAAATTGATTTTAAAGAATTTGAGAAAGTTGAGGAATTAGAGAGAATTGGAGATATTTCGTAGTGTATTTTAAGTATCCATAAATCTCACCTATTCCCATGAGATTTCTAGGGAATTGAATCAAAAATTTATATGGAATCTCTACAAATCAATTAAACTCCATAAAAACCCATAGATTTATAAATATATTAAAGTCTCTCAAATTCTCAATTGAATACACTCTCTCGTTAAGGACTCTTTACCGCTCTATTCAAACATTCATTTTATTATAATAATGTGTCTTTGTCATACACTCTAAATTTTTGTACTCCAACTAAATTGGTTTACCTAGTATTACTATTAAAAGAAATATTAAGATTTGTGAACCTTTTGGAGCAAAATTGTGAATCAATAAATTTTAGTTTTCAAACTGCCATAGAGGCCAATAAACTTGTATTAAAGATCATATTTATAAAAATTGTTGGGGATGCTAGTAAAAAAAAAACTAGTCCACTGAAAATGTTTTCCCTTCCTTTTTTGACGGGGACTGTTCACAAGAAATGGATCCCCACATCACACAAATATCTATATAGAAAGTAGCCACAAATATCCAACAAAAACTGTGCACAAATACAAAAATAGTTTTAAGATCTCGTCTGATAATTATTCTAGCTTTTAATTTCCATTTCTCTTTTTGTAAAAACTTGTTTAAAAACTGTCTTTAATGTTTGGTTTTTCAAAATGATAACTGAAAACAGAATTCAAGCTTTTTTTTTTTTTTGAGTACATCAATGTTTTTACACTAAGAGGAGATGGAGTTCGGCTAAGTCACAGAATGGGCAACCTAATTTGGTATTGAATTCGCCATCCACAATATTCGAACCTAAAACATCTGACTTCCAAATGAAGAGAAATACCACCAGACCATGTACTGAGTGGCTTTCAAGCAAATTATTAAAAAAATACAAAATAGTAGCTTCTAATTCTCAATTTAATTATAAAAAATGAAAATAAAAATGAAAAAATTATCAAACAACTCCTACAAAACCCCATTCTTATTGAAAAAAAAAAAAGAGTCATATTTAAACTACCTATGTCAATCACATTAGAAATTAACTTTATATAAGACTATTCTTGTCGGCGACAATGGTAAGTGTTAAACCAATCCAGTTATGAAATGTCAAGCATATAGTTTGTTATGACAATTTTGTGAAAGTTTTTCTCTGCATTATGTGACAAGGAATGTGTTAATTACTAACTAGGCATTGTATAATTCGCGTGACATATACGTAGATTCCACATGCCACATAATCTAGCTAAGATAGTTTTAAAACAAAAAAAAAGGGTAAAAGAAGAATAAAATGTGTATAATTTGGTGAGAGGTGTGAACAACACTCCAAAAACATATCACGAGTCATTACAAGACAGCCAACCTGTTTCTTCCTTCCCCATTTCTCTCCTCCTAGTAGAGACAACAGCCTACCTTCTGCCTTCTGCTAATTATTTCCACACCTCTCAATTTCTATGCAAAACCAAGCCCTCCAAAGTTGACCAAACAAAAAGGCCTCCAACTTAAGTGCTTTCTGTGCTGAAGTGCTTTTTCCAACCATGGTTTTTAACCAGTCAATGAAGTTTGTTCTTGCCCTCTCTTTTCTTGTCCTGTATTTTAATTCCATTAATTTGCATGCCCTTAACATTGGTGTCCAAGCCACAGATGCCTCCATTGTTCTGGTTTGCTCCTTAATTACCATCTCCTTCTTTCATCATCTAATTACTTTTAATATTTTTTGGGTTCCCAGTTGCTTTCAAATCATAACTTGTTCTCTCTTCCCATGAATTCTAAAAATTTGCAGAGTAAAGATTGCAGCAGAGAATGTGAGTCAGAGTTCTGTACAGGTACTACATATAATTTAAGCAAATTTTTGGTTTAGTTAATGAGCTGATCAAATTAAATATCCCACTTCTTTGGTTCTTTTATAAAGAAATTAAATTGCATTTTTTTTTAAATTTAATTTTGACAGTGCCTCCATTTTTGAAATATGGGAAGTATTGTGGGCTTTTATACAGTGGATGCCCAGGGGAGCAACCCTGTGATGGCCTAGATGCATGTTGTATGAAGCATGATAACTGCGTTCAATCCAAAAACAGTATGTTCATTTCTTAATCCTTACTATCTTTACTGTGCTGCTCTCACATTATTATTTTTCATTTTTATTTCGGGTTGAAATATTTTTGGACCGAGGCTAAATTTTAATATATATATATATATATATATATATATATATATATATATTCTACTCCAAATTATCTGAGTTAGTGTAGGAAGATTTAAATAGTGGCATGAAAATACAAACAAGAGTTGGTAAAGAAGATATTTATATGGAATAGTCATATCTATGTTATAAAATGCGTGTAAGAGACACTTTGATGAGCCTTTTCAATTGTCGGTGGGGTATATATATATATATATATATTCTACTCCAAATTATCTGAGTTAGTGTAGGAAGATTTAAATAGTGGCATGAAAATACAAACAAGAGTTGGTAAATAAGATATTTATATGGAATAGTCATATCTATGTTATAAAATGCGTGTAAGAGACTTTGATGAGCCTTTTCAATTGTCGGTGGGGTGATGATGTTTCTGATGTTGATAATGTTTTAATCAAGTGTTTCGTATTTGACAAAACAATCCCAAAGTTTGTTTGGAGTTCCTTGTGTACAAGATCTATACCAAACGCTAGCATCTGTCTTTTAGAACGAGAACACATGATTGAGGATCCTCTCCTGATCCGATTTGTGAGGATCATGGGATTCTTAAATCGTCTCCGTTCATCGTATATCATGCGGTCATAAATCATTTTAAATACTTTTATTTAAAATTAAATATAAATAATACCTGACGAAAATTGACTACACAATGTATGATAAACGAACATGATTTGAGGATCCTCACAAAGAAGATCCGAAGAGGATCCTCATATAGAACACATTACCTCATATGCACTTAATTATTTGAGCTACAAAAAATTTGTTGCCCTTGTTTATTTCAATTTTTTGTTTGTTTGTAAGAACAACTTGGATGCAACGGGTTGTTACGTAGCGACTCGATCCAATAACACAGAGTGTCATGTGAAGAAATACTTATACTCGGTTACATATTATTTGAAAAAACCACAAAACTAATGAATTTGTTCCATTGAAGTCTCGTTACTCTTATTTATTTTCAATTTTTTGTTTCTTTGTAAGAACAACTTGCATCTCACATCTTGCATGCAACAAGTTTATTGTCACATAGCGACTCGATCCAATAACACAGTGTCACAGTGTCGTGAAGAAATACATAAACATGATTCTATATTATTGGATCGAAAAGTCACGAAACTGATATGTTTCATTGAAGTCTTTCTTGTATATGGGAGATTAGATTTGTAAATGCAATAAGAACTAAAAACAGTATAATTTAAACGGTGGTATATTGTTATGTTTTTGGTGTAGATGACTATCTAAGCTCAGAGTGCAGCCAAACGTTCCTAAATTGCATGGCAGAGTTCAAAAACAAGGGAGGGAAAACGTTTAAGGGGAACAAATGCCATGTTGAGGATGTTGTGGAAGTTATAACCCTTGTCATGGAGGCTGCTTTAGTTGCTGGAAGATATCTCCATAAGCCTTAACACCGCAGCAGCTACCCTCTAGTCATTTCTAATTGTTTCACAACTTCGTTTTCTTCTTCTTTTTACATGTTCTTTCTTCCTGCATTTTACTTAAATCGAGAAAAAAAAAATTTATTCTGAATTCTCAAACAAATGCAACAAATTTTCATAGAAAGATGTGAAGAATGTAAACTTGTGCTTAAATTTTGCAGATAGCCAGGTTGAGATGGTGTTGTTATCCATTTCCCCTTCTCTAAGTCTAATATTGCACAATGCACACCATGAAAGACACTAATTCCAATAACTAATCAAACCCCAGAATTATAACTTGGTTGGCAGTCCCACGTCGATGGGTGAGCTCAACAAGGATGGCTTGAAATATGATTACCTTACTCTTAACTAATACGGAGGCTTTTTTTGGTAAAACCTCACACCTAATGGATTAGGCAGGTGGTAAAGTTGGGAATAGTAGCAGTGTCGTTAAAGTGGGCCTTCCAGGCCCGTTGATCTAAAAAAATTCAATATGGTATCAGAGCCCACGGTTATGGGTCCATGCAAGCCAAAGGCTTGTAACGAGGGTGTGGGCATGGAAATGAGCTTGGACTCTTAACATAGAGCCGGCCTCTGAGTTCTTAAAAGGCATTTCCTGAAAGAGCTGAAAACAAGTCTAGACTCCATAGGAGCCGACCTCTAAGTTTCAATTGCCGATGTGTGGATCTCCATATGTGAACCACCAAAATGGGGTTATACGTGAGGGGACATGTTTCATAAAGATTCGACGTAAGAATGGAGTGCCAACTATTAACTACCTAACATTCTCCCCCTTCTTTTTTATCTGAGCTTGGGACTGGCAGTGCAAGCCCATGTGGAGTTATATATATGTATTACCAAATAAGGAATAAAAATATATTTGGCAAAATGTTTGATTTGAGATATCTAATGTTGTGCAAACCTCTCAGTAATTACCCATCTTTTAAGTCTATGAGTGACATAATTGAAATATTGAACTCGTGATTCCATTTTTAATATAGGGAAATGTAAACCACATGCAATTGTTCTGCTTTTATGCACCTCTTCATTTTTGGACATTAAATTCAATAAATCAAATGAAAATAACCAACAAGATCAATTGGTTGTGTAGGGGGAGACAAAAAAGGTGTGGTTACCATAATCCTGGTAAATTTTTTAGGGAAATAGACAAAAATGACCTATTTTCTTAATCTTGGGACATAAATAGGACACACCGCCCATGCACAAGCCATGAACACTATGGACAAAATGGAAATTACTAAAATACCCACATATAAATACTAAAAACTCTCAGCTCATTGCATCATTTTCCTCATTTGGAAGAGAAGGATGTCAAGAGAACTTTGTGAGCTCTGAGTTTTTGGGTTGAGCTCAGATCTCAGATTTTGAAGGGAATGAAGTTGAGAGTGAAGCTTCAAAGTGAGGGTCTCTAGTTTTCATCAGTGTTCAATCCTTGAAGATATGACCTTTGTACCAAATTTTTCATTTTGGTCATGAAGTTCCATTTTTTCCGATGCGTGAAACTACAGCAGCCATATTTCCACAGCCATCTGGTTCGTCTCTCTCTCGTCTCTTTCTCTCTAACTCAATCATCGTCTCTATTTCTGCATCTAATTACTTGTTTTTTTTTTCAATTGGTTTTTTTGGGATTTGTAGAGATGAGAAGTCGAAGAAAAGAGGGATAGAGAAGAGAAGGCTTAGAATGTGTTTTGGAAATTTTCATTTGTTTGTGGGTTTTGTTATTTTAGTTCCAAGTTTCTATATCAAGGATTTATGAAATAAATGGGTTAATTGTAAGATGAATTAATACTTAGAAGCTAAATTAGTGTTTCTATTTCATATTGAGGCCTATGAATTTTGGAATTAACTTTACTTTTTTACATGCTACAAAATTGGGATGGAACAATTTTTGGTTTTCAAGTGTTCAATTGCAGAAATTTGTGAAATTTTTTCCGTATTGTGCATATGGTGTGCATATGGTGAGAAGCAAGAATGTTCACTAGTTATAATGCACACATGTTGGGCCCCGAAATTTAGCGAGTATGACCACAACCTAGTTAGCCTTGGCAAAAATCAAAATTAAAAAAAAGCTTGGAGGATGTTAAGGGTCAATCATGTCCATGAAATCACGACAACGAGCTAGTATCATGTTTTCCATGTGCACGATTAGGCAGTCATTGATATACATAACAAGACTTTTCAAACTGCCACTGTAACCTTATATATGTAACAATTATGTTTTAATTGTATCCATTATACCAATAGGTTGCCATTAATATTTCTTATTAATGCGAAAATCAACTCGTTGCTCGATCTCCAGTTCTATGCATATCATGTGCATATAATGTACATATGATGTGCATGTAGTGTGCGTATAATGTATATGGTGGTGACGTCATATGTGATGATGTCATTTTTTTTTATTTTGAAGAGAGCTGTGAGGTCTAGGTTTTTGGGTTGCTCAGATATGTGAGCATGTTGTGTGCATGTCACTAGAAAGAGATGATTTTTAGTGGGATTTCTTGAATCTAGGTTCAAGTCAAGGATTTGTAAACTATAGATCTTTAAGGAATTTCCATAATCTAGATCCCACATATCCCCCAACGCCATTAATTGCACGATGCACGTCCACAACAAAACCAACGTCGTTGCATGTATTGATACAAATAAGAAATTTAGGATTTTCTTCGAACTTAGAAGTAGAAGGCGTTCATCAGTGGATGAGAGAGGGAGATTATAGCAGAAAAAATGGTGTCTTTAGTTTTTCATAATGGATTTCCCTTGACATTTGAATTTTTTTGGGACTGTAGATTGGATTTGACCCATATGGGTTTTGAATGAGATTTCAAATTTGGGGAAGAATATGGTGATTTAAGGAAGAAATCCCCAATTTGCAATCTGCAACTGCCAGCACAAAAGTGTGTTCATTTCCCAAAAGCTTCAATAAGTAAACACGAACAATCTCCAAATAAAACAAAATTTTCAACTGAGTTTTTCATTATCTTTCACTAATCTAAGAACAACCAATAAATGTCAATTTTAGAGAGAGAGAGAGAGAGAGTAGAGAGAGAAATCAAAAAATGGGAGGAAATAACCCATTTATATACGAGGGCAATTTGATCATTTCAATGTGTAGGAAAAATCTTATTTCTGTCTGATTGTTGTGCATGCCATGTGCATATTCGAAAAATCTAATGTTTGTACCAAGATTAAGAAAATGGGTCATTTTTGTCTATTTTTGAAAATTTTATAAGGTAACATATAATTCAATATACTAGACAGTAAGCAACTATAAATTCAGAAGTAGCATAATATAAAGTCAGTAATATGTCGCCTAAACTATTTATGATATATAATCCCCGAATAAGAAGGTTTCAATTCTTGGATGCCACATAGATTTTGAAACTTTTTATGACATGCTATTAATTCACCCGAAGTTCATATGGATCTCCACACGAGTAGAGTACACCAACCACATATAACATAAATCAGTTCGTCTAGAAATAACATTTAAAGAATTTAAAGAGAACTGTTATCGGGGCTCCTGTGTAATTTCTCCCTTGTATTTCAAAAACCATGAGCACATGATGACAACTTTGGAGTGCTAGTGGCAACTTCTATTTGGAAATATAGGAGTTAGCTGGATGATCAAGCAAACCTTGATCATGAATGAAAGACGTTGTAACTTTCATGCCCAATATAATCTAGGGAAAGACAAAAATAGGCCATTTTCTTAATCTTGAGACAAAAATAAGACAAACCGGCCATGCATAAGCCATGCACGCCATGCACAAAATTGAAATTACTAAAATACCCTCATATAAATACTAAAAATCCTCATCCCATTTCATCATTTTTGTCTTGGAAGAGAGGTGTGCCGAGAGAGCTATGTAAGTCCTAGGTTTCTAGGTTGAGCTCAGATCTCTAAGCTTTGATTTCGAAGAGAGAGACGTCGAGAGTGAAGCTTCAAAGTGAAGGTTTTTGGTTTGCATTAGTGTTCGATCCTTAAAGATATGACTTTTGTGCCAGATTTTTTGTTTTGGTCGGAAAGTTACAATTTTTCTGGCGAGTGCAACTTCGGCAGCCATATTTCCACAGCCATCTGGTTCATCTTTCTCTTCCTTTCATCTCATTCTCTCTAACTCAATCATGGTCTATATTTCTACAACTAATTACTTGTTTTTTCAATTAGGTTTTTTGGATTTGCAGAGATGGAAAGTCGAAGAAAAGAAAGATAGGGAAAAGAAGGCTCAAAATGTGTTTTGGAAATCTTTATGTGTTTGTAGGTTTTGTTATTTTAGATTCTGAGTTTCAATTTTTGAGTATCAATATTAGAGTATTGCGTTTTAATTTTTGTTTAGGGTATTGAAGATTCATGGAGTTGTGTTGGTGGATTTGGCTTTGTGGGTTTGTTATAGAATGCTTAATATTTGTTAGTTTTGTTATGAACTTGCAAATGTTTGTGAATTTGATCTAGAATGGGTATTTGTTTGAAAATGTTGCAAATTACATGTTTTAGTTCAATATGAAAGAAATTGTACACGATATGCACATGTAACAACCCGTCCTTAATTTTACAGCTTTATTAATTTAAAATGAGTGAATTGACGATAGTATGATGTAGGGGTGTGAGATTTGATAGCACACTAACCTTTATATTGGAAATGAAGTAATAAATTTTGGAAGCATCATTCAAGTCGGGGAACAAAAAGGTAGTGGTGGGGATTCTTACAACTTTTGAAGGTCACATGCATCACATCCTCACCACATAAACACCTTCAACACAATCCCTCTTTTACCCAACGGATTTCTCCTCCTCATGGTAGACTAGTGTATAAATATGATTCTCACACATAGTTGCAATAACCATTATCCCCATCAAAAATTACACTTCTCAGATAGCCAAAACAATTCACAACACAAAGATGTCCAAATTCCCACATGAAACTAAGGGCTTTAACATCGAGTTCCACAAGTGATACAACATGGAACCTCCTCCACTTTCGGGGTCACTGAATACATATCCTATGTCATCATTTAGCTATGTGGACTCGGAGACACCGCTGAAAAATATAGATCAAATTCGCAGGAAACTCGACTATGAGAAGGGTGTTGCCGAGTATTGGAACCACAAGCTAAAAAAGTTTGTGGACCTCAATGGTAAATCCAATGAAGCACTCTACTGTGCAAGTAAGTAGAAAGCGAAGGGTGACACATGTGGAGAAAGGATCACATCTCTAAATTTTAAATTGTGGCAGAAGTGTTGAGGCCATATTGAGTCGGACGAGCGTTCCCGGGAGGGAAAGGCAAAAATGGAGGAGAAACGCAACAAGGGCTTCGAGGATTCTCGTCGATTAACGAAGTGAAAGGAACCGCGTCAACCATAATGGGATTATATGACATTTTATTGTTGTGCAATGTATTTGCTAACTATTCTATGATAATAAAGACACGTACTATGTATCCTTGTTATATGCACATACCATGTACATTACATGCACATCCCATGCACACCTTATGCAAACCATGTGCACAAAATATGCCATGCCCATCAAAAGCACACCTTATGTAAGCGATATGCACAATGTATGCATGTCGTATGCACACATTAGGAAAATTTTGTGAAATTTCAACAATTGAACTAAAATACAAATTGGAACATACCTAATATTTTACCACGTCAGGAATCAAAAAATTTCCTTACATTAGTGTAAATCCAGTCGGCATTAGCATGTTGGCCTTGGGATTCTGTTCAAGACTAGGCGCCAAAAGGGATGAGACTTACCCCATTATTTTAGGGTTTCATATCTTGGAAAATGCATCATCCTCATATTAGTGAAATCCCAAACTAAAAAGTGCAAATTGGATATCAAATTTTGCCTTCCATGCTTTGTTTCTACATGGATTGGTTGGCAAACTAGTTAGGAAATTGACAAAACAAGGTAGTTGTGGTGTATATAACCCTCATGTCTTGTCTTAACCTACTTGAGGTGTGCATCGCATTCAACATGTGTAAGATGTGCTTTTTCATCATGTCCACTCATAAATGTCCCAATATTTAATAATAATGTATTACAAAAGTACTGGGTTTTAATTAATGTTTTGTTTGTGTACTTAGTTTGACAAAAAATAGACCTGGCAGTTTCTGATACGACACAATGACACGACACGAAAACGACGCGAAAATAACGGGTTTTGGATCAACACAATAACTAATTAGGTCATTATCGGGTGACATGATAAAGACCTGTTAATAACAGGTTCTTAACTGGTATACACGTTGGTAACACGTGGGGAAACCGTTTCGACCCGTTAAGAAAAAAATATTATTTTGATAATTTTAAAGTTTAATTACTTAAGATTAATTATAAAATACAATAGCCATATTAATATATATAATATATTCTATATTAAATATATAGTATATAGTTTTTTTATTATTATTCTATATAAGTTAAAAAAAAAATTTTGGTCATTATATATTTTTATTATGAGAGTTCCTTATTATCATTACTAGGATAAATTTTACTTAACATGTTATTGTCCAAAATTAAAATAAACTAGTATAGTATTTGTATAGGTAAGAACTAAGAAGACATACATACAAGTATGAAAAATGTGAAAGAATATATAAACACTTGTGATTCATCATTATTCCTCCACGAGTAGATAATGGTTACACTTACATTATCGTTTAGATTTTTAAAATTCTTCAAACCCTCATGAATAATGTTTTTTATTTAAGGGAAAAATTAATAAAATTAATAATAATTATTGTAGAAGTGTAAAAAATGTAATATATATATACACACAATCACTCATAATGACAAGCTTTACAACTTTCATGAAGGGGCCAGCTTCGAAATCCAACACTATAATTCATAAACCTTAAATTTATATTTAACTGTCAATTGTCATTTACATTTTATTTTTGTTACTAAATTTCATTTTTAAAATTTTCTTTTTTGAAAACATGATCATCTGGCAGATGTAAGAAGATGAACGGTTTAGATCTTTGATATCACGTTTCTATATTTACGGTTAACTAAAATATGAGTCGATGTCATATAGTTTGTAGAAACTTTATAAACATCAAGCAATATTTTCACTAACCGTAAAACTCTGAACATAATATCAACAATCCAAACCGTTCATCTTCTTGCATCCTCTAATAAATCATGTTTTCAAAAAAGAAAATCTGAAAAAACAAAATTTGATGAGAAAAATGAAGCGTAAATGTAAACAACAATCAACGATTAAATTTTGATATATGATTTATATGATTATAAAGGCGAATTTTGAAGTTAAGCTTTTCACAAAAGTTGTAAAACTTGTCATTACAAGCGTTTATATATATATATTTTATATTTTTTACACTTCTACATTAATTAAAAACTATTAAAAACTTTACTTAAATAACAACCGTAAGATAAATGAGAGTAAATCTATACCGTTAGATTCTATTTCAATTATATTATTAGAATTTTTTTGGACAAAAAAACCCCTTGTGTTTTCCAATTTTACAATCTAATCTGATCAAAATTCAAAACAAAAGCCAGCCCTAATCCCTTTCTATCTCCCCACTCCCGTAACCCTCTCTCCCAACCCGCCGCCTGTTCTTCCTGGCCCCTCTCTCCCGCCGTATGCTCTTCCGGTAGCCTCTCTCAGCATCTCTTTTCTCCTCCCTCGTGCAGTGGACGCGACAGAATCATTCTTGATCTTGTCATCTCTGCTCTGGTCGTCTCTAGATCTCTGCATTCTCCAGATTCCACTTCAGGTTCGATTTTGTTTCTACATCTGAATATCTCTGTTCTTTTTATTTGTTTAATGTTGTATCTTCATAAATCTTATGTTTTTGTTTCTTCTTTTGCATTCGGTGGTACGGTTTTGGTGAACTATTAAACTTAGTTCGTGTTGTTGAATGTAATCTAATGATCCTTGCACAATGTGCATAATTGTTAATTCGTTTCAATTCAATGATGTGTAGAAATTCTTTTGCTTTCTGGGTTTGCAAAACTAGGTTCAAAATTTTGAGCGTAGATAATATTTATAGGGATTAGGTTTGAGAGACCTTAAGCACACATGGGGTAAGTGTGGGGAAGAATTGTTGATGAGCTTGCTGTAGTTTGAAATATTAGAAATAAACAGATATGCGCTTTTCCAAATCAAATACCCTCGAAAAGACATTGGGCAAATCAGTCTATAGATGCCTGCTCAATTATGTCCAAAACACACCCCTAAAAGTTTGAACTTTATATGGTTTTGTAGGTGGAAGTGGTCTATATACTTGATTAATTGAAGGATTGTTTTATATTTCCACTGTCTTTGTAAATTTCTATAAAGGAGTGGTAGAATTTTATGTGGGAAATTTTGTGTGGAAGGGGATAGTTACTTTATAGAGGATGATGCTGGCTGTTTATAACCTCTGTAGGTAAATTTCGAAAATTGCTTGATGAGTATTTTTTGCTAGTGTTCTCTGCAGCTAAATTTGATCTTGTATATATGCGTGTCCTGGTATACCTTATAAGAGTTTGTTGGATTTTGGTGCTACATTTCTTTGAACTGCTTGTGAATTGCTTATAAAATGGTTCTTGAAACTCATTTAAGTTAGTAGTAGTTGGTGCCTTGGAAAAACTTTAAGTCTGCAATTTCAACATGCTGGTGCTAACTGCTTAGTGTTTGACCTCAGAACACGAACAATGTACTACTGACTGGTCTTTAAGCAAATTAAAAATATTTAACATGTATTTAATTCATTTACTTTGCTTTTGAAACTTTGGTTCGAGGAAGCACCAAAAGTTAATAAAAGCACAGAGCACCATGTTCAGTATTCACTTTGGTAGTCTGGTGCGCGGGTGGGGTTTAGAAAACAGGGCAAAAAGACAAAGTGCCCAAAATGGTATTGAACTGCTCGGTGGAGACAATAAGTATTGAACTGTTTCCATCCTCAAAATGGTTCCTATATATTGACAAGTATACCAATTGATTTGCAATCAGTGCACCGCATCGAAAACTTGGTATTATCTTGCCTAATGCTGAATGCTTTATTGCTTAGTAATATCCATTGTTACTCTTAGTAATATCCTACCTGTTTGAAAAGCTATTAATTAATTTATACCCATTTTGTTTCAAAAGCAATGGATGCTAAAGATTCAGATTCAGTAAACGATGACGAGTCAGTGGAGATTATACTGGCCTTTCAAGCCACCGTGATTTCAAGATGGCCTTTGCTATGCTGCATATGGAGAATAGCCTTGTCACTTATAGTACCTTAATAAACGCAAAAATTAAACAGATAGAATAAATCGCCAATTATTTTATGAGAGACCATCACTATACCAACAAATAATATTACTATTTGGAAGCAGGGGTATGGGTGTGAATTAAATTGGTGGACACAGATTGGCTCTAGCTGACGCGAGAAAGTCTAGGTTATGTCCATTGTGTATGGCATCACACTCACAATAAGGTGGGATCCCTTGCATATGGTCTCGTATGAAGTCTGATCTCCTTTATTGTTAGTGCCCATAGGCATGGCACATAGGCTCATAGGAAGAGTAGTCTTCGTCGATGGCCTGCACCATTCTTGCACGGGTAGAAGATTGATTTGTGTTTTGGTTCTAATCAAGCAATTGTGGGTTCGAGAGTCCCATGGGCGTGCAAGCGCAACCTTTTTTTCACTCAAAAAAAGTATTATGTTTTTCAATTGATTATTTATTGGTTTAAAATATAGTTTCCTTAACGGGTAATTGGTCGGGTTATATTACCTGTTAATATTATCAGCTCGATTTCAAGTCGGGTCATTTTACTTGTTTATTTTAACAGGTGTTACATGACACAACCTGTTAAGATATCGGGTATGCCACGAACACGAGAAACACGAAACGAATGGCACGTCTACCCAAAAGGGTTTGGGAAAATGTTAATTTTCCCAATTCCAGATTATAAGTTATTAGTATTCAAGATGCAACATGTAGTGTGTATATCATGATCATAAGTGATAATTCAGTGTACTTAATATGTGCATAGTCTGTGCATATAATGCGCATACATTGTATAAGGAAGGTGGTTATCATTAATTTACATCTGTAATACTATTGGATGGTTTTATTTTTTATTTATTACGTACTTAAGCAATTAACTTTTTGTCATGGGAAGTTGCACCGTCTGAAAGACTCTTATTCTCCATCTATTTAAGTTGTCTTGTGGTTTGTGTTTCATTACAAACCCACAAGTTCAATTTACATCTTCCTAAAAAACAACCAAAAGTTGAAAATGATGAAGAAAGGACGCACCACCTCTTCCTCCATGCAATCTGTTTTGGATGACGTTCTTCTCAAAATTCTCATCATCTTTGCTTTCCGTTTGTTAAGGGGCCTATTTTCGACGAATATGGTCTTGAAAAAGTTCAACGAAATAGCCGAAGGTCCTTACATCTACCAACACATGAATATTACAAACTTTGAGACTGTCAACCCGTTTAAATCAAGGAGCACGTCTGACAGTCTCAAAGCTCATCAATCGCTGCATCCAGTGTGGCAACCTCCAGACCCTCTACATGGTGGGGATGCTTTCTTCCTTGACAACAAGGAAGAAGCCAAAATTGAACATCTTAAAAGTATAATCTCAGAAGTAGCAACATATGTCTACGGTGCGATCTTAGTGTGCCATTGCTGGGATTCCAAGCACGAAGGGCATAAACTTCTTTATTCTCTCAATCGTCACAACCCGAGGCGGTTAAGTGTATGGAATTCTGAGAGAGGTTTTGCCTATGTTTGTTGAGTTTTTGGGTGGATAGGGAAGTAAAGGCCTGAATCCTAAAACTTCACAATGACAACGCTACCATCAAACTTTGCAGCAAATGTGGAAGTCCTCAAGGTCCAGTCACACTCCAAACGCATTGGGATGCATCTGACCATGAAAAATTCACTACATGTAATGCATGTAGATGACATCAGTAAGTGAATAAATTTTGTGATATATTATGCGGTAGAGACAGGTGCTAAGTTTGTTTTTTAGTTCGTTTAATCTTGTTGTAATCGTAGCATTTAAATTTTAAAGCAACTTTTTGTTTCCTTTATGTCTTTCATGTACTACTGAATTCGTAATTCTATGGACTTTGTACTTTTCAATTTTTCTTCATAAAGATACATAAACAAGAAGGTTTAAAAACTAGGCATAATTACATAAAACTAGCCCAAGGTGTCATCATTACTATATCTACCTTGCCGACACTTTTTCCCACTCATCAATGCTTGCCTATCTTTTTATTTTCTTTGGATATTGTGCATGAATAACTGACATGCATAGGACATGCATATTCTATGCATAGGAAATGTATGTACCTATGCACATGACATGCATATGGCATGCACATGAAATGCACAATATATGCACATGACATCAGGTTTGGTGTGTGGTTAGGTTCTCGAGGGTTGACTGAATTAAGATTGATTTGGTTATTGTGCATGCATGGTTAGGATGTAAAGTCTCATCCACCTCATCTAGTTGGTTATTGTCTATACACAAACAAGAAGCTTAAAAAACTAGGCATAACTAGGAAATTGTGATAATTAATTACAAAATTGTGCATGAATGACTTTTGGGTTGCATGAGAGATGATGTATTTATTCATGCTTGTCCAAGAACCAATGTTCTAAAAATCCCCACCTAGCACCTCCTAGATCTGCCTAGGCACTAGGCGGCTAGCCACCACCCCGATTAATGCCTAGGCATTTGAAAATTAAGAAAAGGCACCTAAACCTGCTAAGGCACCCCCTAGACTGCCTAGGCACTCGCCTAGCCTGCCTAGACCCACTTAGGCACATACCTAGGTTGCAACTCACTTAGACATAAAATAGATAACTTTCAATTTGCATTTAATTTTTTTCAATAAATTGTAATAGACTTGTTGAATACTTAAATAAGCACACACTATATGCTTGTTCCCCATGTTTTCATTATGTTCCAATACTTCATAATACATATGTCATTGTATTTTGTAGTTTATGATGAAATTATATATATTTTAAGTATAAACAGACACTTATTACACAAAATATACTGGATTTACTTAAATCCACTTAGGCGCTAAGCCTCAGCCAACCGTCGAACTAGTGCATAACATTTTTTAGAATCTTGCCAAGAACAAACCACCTCATCCAGTTGTAGAACGATGAAGCAAGACATAACTATGAGGAAAGGTAGAGCGATGAAGAAAGGCACAACGACCCCAACTTTCATACAATCTTTTCTGGATGAGCTTCTTCTGGAATTGGCGAACGTAATCAAGATACGTCTACGGTGTGATCTTGGTGTGCCAAGGGGGATGAAAAAAGAAAGGCCTCAGGCTTTTGCATTCTCTTAACCATCAGAAATTGGTGAGCGTAATGGAGTGTAGAGAAAGAGCTCAGCGGTTTTCTGGTCAATTAGTGTGGACAAGGAAGTTAAAAGTAGAATAATAAAACTTCAAGAGGATAGTGCTGCCATTAAAGCATGTAGAATATGTGAAAGTGCACAAGGTTCTTTCACAGTCTGACTCCATTAAGATTATTGGTGCCATGACAAATTCAACAGTTGCAATTCGTGTAGATGGCATCATGAAGTGAACATTTTTTTGTGATATGTTAAATGGTTTAATAGGGACTTGATTTGTTTCTTTTTCTTTACTTTTCTTCAAATTTAGTTGTCATGTATTTTTGTTAGTAAATGGAAAAGGGGAGAAGTTTTTGATAACATGAATAATGTTTGCTTTCTTAAATGAAAAGATGCATAGCACAAAGCATGAACAAAGCATGCTTAAGTCTCCAAAACCCGATGTCGTAGATTTGAATCATATAGGGCGTGATTCTGTGTCATTGTGAATCGTGTTCGGTCAAAATTAGACTAAAATAATTGAGCACAAACCCAAATTTGAAGGCAAAGCCAAGAAATATTTGACCCCCTTTTATGCATCTCGTGTGCATACAGTGTATAGCTTTCTGGAAAATTGAAGGCAAAGCCAAGAAATATTTGACCCCAGCCATAGAATCCACTAACTCACAAAATACTGGCAATAGCCAAGAAACCCAGCAGCCATAAAACATATGAACCCAGAAATTAATACTCATAAATATTGCACTTTGAAATTAAAGCCATAAACAAACCTTAAAAGATTTAAAAAAAAAAAAAAGATTCCCCAAATGTCGTAAAGAAACCCACATAACTCGTAGTGGCCTTTGGCTCATGTTGGATTCCAATCTCACTGTGTCTTGAAACTAAGAAGTTAAAAGAAATTGGCAAGAAGGTCATGAGTTTGGAAGTGCACTCTTCACCTACGACGTTCATGAGAGCTTTGGTGGATGAATTATTATTCATTACACACCAAGCTTTTGGGATGGCAGGTTGGGAATTGCACTGCCACCCAAAAGTTAGCTGCGATCTTAATCGTGGGTCACCAACTCGAAAAGAGAGGAGAGAGAGGACTAGTGAAAAAGAGAGGAGAGAGAGGACTAGTGAAAGGATGGCCATCGGTGAGAAAGAAAGGTTTGCCGCCGGTGAGGTGGGTTGTTATAGGGTGAGTGCATCATTATGTTCTTCAAGAGAGAGAGATCAGAAAATAGGAGGAAATAATCCATTTATATACGAAGGCAATTAGGTCATTTTCAGTTGTAGGAAAAATTCTATTTATGTCCTATTGTTGTGCATGACGTGTACATGCTCTGTGCATATTCAAAAGATCCTATTTTTGTCCCAATTTGACCGGCACACCCGCTTCGGTCTTTGGCTACTTACAGTAGTTTACTATTTTTTAGGTAGACGGATTTGTGCATCTCCAATCTTCACAACGGTGCACGTGATTAGTTCCAACATCATAGTGTATTATAAATAAAGGAACTGAATAGGGAAAATATTATCTAACTATTTCCCTAAGCCCCATTCTCTCTTTTTTCTCTCTTTGCTGCATATATCTCTCCCTTCAGCCTTCAGTAAATTGGCCACATCAAATTTGCAATTTTTAACATTTGTTTTAAATATTGTGTCCAAGTGGTGCTATTATGACATCATTTAACGAAGTAATCTCCACATGTGTCATGTCATTAAATATGCTAGATTTAACACAAAAATTTGCTTAATCTCCCACTCTTTACGACCAATCTCAGTATTATAGTATATTGATATTTATCTCTACTTGTAAGTGAAAGGTCGACTTCTGTAAATAACGAATTTGATATCAAATTACTATTATTGATTCATTATTTGGCTTAACCCAAATGTCAAACGTATTAAAAAACCTTAAAAGAACTATATATATCACAAAGGGTTGTTTTATACACACCCTGTATTTTGTTGACTATGGTTTAGTAGTATTCATTTTTACTTGTAAGT